TGAGAGGAAGGACATATCTGAACGGCATCCCCTCAACATCGGCATTGGCCCCTCCTGATGTGAACAATGAAACACCTCCACCGTATCCCGGCGATTGTGGTATGGATGAACTATGCCAGAAATTCAGAACTAAAATGAAATTTAGGGGAACATGTGCTGCTCAATTACATGGAGTCTGTCAAAGGTGTTGATGGTACCGTTGTGGACAAGATGAGTCTAGAGGTAGAGTAATTGATTTTGCAAAAATAGATCCTGGTAGTGGTAACTGAGACTGGAGAGCTCAACTTTACATTATTTGCTAATTTGAATATACTGTACCTTAAAAGAATTTTTTAAAAGTATTAAACCCTTCTAACGACTCGTTACGTGTTGCATTTGCAGTCATTCGTTCCACGATACCCATTCTACCCTCCATTGCCTCGATCCAATCAAAACGGCGACGGCGGTGACTCATAGGACCGCTCCTATGTAGTCTCTTGTTGGTATGCCGGACATACACGTGTACTCATGTGATCATTTACTCAGGAAATTATGTTGAAAATAAAAGCATTAACAGCCATTTAAAGAGTTATTTACTTGTGTTTTGTCAGAGTTAAAAGTTTGCTCAGCTTATTAGGAAATCACTATCTATCTTAAGTTAGCGTTTAGAAGCTCTTTTGGCCTAGGTTTGTTTACGAACGAGCCTTCGCTTATAAGCTCGATAGTCAACTTACATTATTGATTGGCATTAGTCTAGTGCTAAGTGGACATATATGATCCAGAAGGATCGCTTCCGAGCTAATCGTCCAAGCGAGCGGTTGTTAGCAAAGGAGCACGCTTAGCAATTGGCGCATCAGCCTATCAGTCAATCAGCCACTTTATTGCTTGCAAATCCTCATGTTGGGAAGTGCCTAGATAGAATTCTGTTCTGAGATTTGGCTAATATGCACTAATAGTCAATTTTTCTGGGTTACCATGTGGTAATATAATAGTTTTGTTTTGTTTCGTTCCCATTCTTATAGTGAATTTTTTAAGTTAGGTAGGTTAGTTTACTATTTGTTAAGAGTTTTTTCAACATGCAATTATCCTAAGCCAAGAAACGGCCTGAAACTGCTCGCAAATGGTATTTTGGTGATGTCCTTTCTCGCTTAGTCGTTTGGTTTTTGATTAGCCTTGAAAATCTCTGAATTTGATACCAACAGCTTTCTTCAAGTTTAGTTTAGCAGTAAGCAGTGCTAGATATCTTTCAAATGACCTTTATTTTCTTTTTTGTGCTTCCAAGCTGGATTACGAAATTTTTTGTTTTTCTTTTTCCTGGTTTTTTAAAATTTTTGTTGGTTTACTTGGAATATTTGTGATATAAATAGATGCTAAACAGCATTGAATAGATGACCTAGAATGAAAGAAGGTGGGGCACATAGGAAAATATAGCCGAAAAGTTAGCTAATTTTGCAACCATAGAGCCTCTTATGTTTGAACGTATGGGACTTCAAGAGTTGCTGCTGTTGTTGGGATGCGTATAAGATCATCGCTGGGAAAAGCTTGTTCAGCTGAGTCCGGAAGTTCTTCGTCATCTGCTATTGTTATTGATTCACCAGTATGCTGAACAGGCTCTTCGTGACCAAGTGCTGCTGTAGAATCATGCGCTAAAAGTTCAAAGCATCAGATGAGGTGTCAATGAGAAGTGCAAATTTACGTGATGCATCTGCTTTGTTTTCCACTCCACTTTGAGGGGAATCTGCTGCAGATGAGACTAAAGCGACCATTGGTGGAGTAATAGGCGGAATGGCACAGTTTGGCACCTGCGTTGAACTTATGGCCACTTTGATGTATTTTCTGATTTCCTGACCTGAGTTGGTTTTGAGGGAGATCTGAACAGATCACTTACGACTTGCTCGTACTGTTAGACATGCCGCAGTTTACTCACTTCCAGATAATACTTGAAGCTTATCAAGCGAGATTTGAACGAAGGTATTGCCGACACTGGTACTTTGATGCAAAATTGTACGAAACCTCTGTGATTTGATTGTATGGAAAGTTCCTAAAATGACTAGAACCAAATTTTCCAGGATTTTATGGTTTGCATACTTTTGTAGCACATCATTTGCTCAGTTATGGAAGAAAATTCGCCTTGAGGAGTGAGCTCTTCCCTTGCTGGCTGTTTGTGAGTGATAAAGAGCTCAACAAAATGCAGTGGGCTTGCAGTATTTCTTAGGCGGGGAGATGAATTTATAGAATGTATAGCTTTGGGAATTCAGGTGGGACCATATTTCCTAGGTTTTGCGGATATTTGATTAGTTGTTACCTAAGTTGTTT